CCAGGGGTAATTCCTGAGTACAGAGCCAGGAGTAACCCCTGAGCACCGCTGGGTATGACCCCAGAAAGCAAAAAAAAAAAAAAAAAAAAAAGAACAAGCAAAAAAAAACCCACTTGCTGTGAATTCATATGGAAATAGATTTGAGCTTTCTCAGACCCCAAAAACGAGCCTCCCAGACCCCACCTAGCTCCTGCAACCATATGGCCCAGACAGAATCAGGAAGGACTGTCAAACAGAAGGCCTTGTGGCCCATTGCTCGTGGGGAAAGAGCACTGGAGAAGGAGTCACAAGGTCACTCCAGCCGCTTGAACCCCTGAGAAAACACTCTTGATACTTTTCACCCCTGGTCCTCAGTGGGGAAATCCTCTTCAGATTTCTCTCCTAGCACAAACAGGCACAGGCCAGGTAGCAGAGCCAGACAGCCCCAGGTGGAACTGTTTCAACAGAGGGTGAATCCGTGAATGTGTCCACTTTTCCCATGAGGGGCAGTGGGGAGTTCTGGCCGAGGGTCCCAGCTCCCTGATTTTAACACTTGGCAGAAAGTGGGGTGCTGGACTGGAGACCCATCACCCCCCACTCCCCGCGAGGAATGAGGAACAGTGGGCCTATCTCCTCTCTCCCCGGGAGACTTTGCAAGGACAGCCTGTTGGGGGCCCCTCATTTGCCTTTCCTTTCTGACACACAAGTGGCCAATTCTGAGAGCAATCGAGCCGTGCTCGAAAAAATGTCAAGTGCCTTTGGAAACGCCCTCAGCTCGCTGTCACCCAAGTCCTGCACTCAGCTATTTCCTGGGCCGACTGCTGAGAAGTTCAGTGAAGGCATCTTAGGGGATCCAGTGAGACCTCCAGGGGGTGGGGGAAGGGAGAGGCCGAGCCCCCAAGGGGGCAAAGCTGTCTCCTAGCCCATTCAGCGGTCACATCAGGAGAAGTTCCCTCACCCTTCAGAATCCTGCCCCTGGCCATCTTGACCCCTGCTCCCTGCAGGTCTGGGGGACCAGAGTTGCCCATGATCTGCCCTGCGATTCTGGAAATATCCAAGTAGATAGCACCATGGGAAGAATCTTCATATACTCTGAGAACGGCCTCCACCGGCTCGCAACATTCACAGTCATGGTTGTGGCAAGAGTTTGGAGATTGACCCTCCATTGGGTGTTGGGCGTTGGGCATTGGCGTTGGGCGTCAGTGGTGTAACATTCCTCTCTCCTGCTAAAGCCTCTGTACGTCTCGTCAGTGGGAGATACGCTGCTATTCCGGTCCCATCAAGGAGCTCTTCCACCCTCTAGGGTGTGTCTGAAAGTCAGGCTCACTGGAAAGGCCCCCAAGAAGTGAAGGTGGAGTTTCTTCTCGCTAGACTCCCCTTAAGAGCTTCTTTCTCTGGGACTGGGGCTTTAGTACAGTGGGGAGGGCATTTGCCTTGCACGTGGCCAACCCAGGTTCGATTTCCAGCATCCCATATGGTCCCCTGAGCACTTCCAGGGGTAATTCCTGAGTGCATGACCCAGGAGTAACCCCTGTGCATTGCCGAGTGTGACCCAAAAAGGAAAAAAAAGAGCTTCTTTCCTTATTTTCTTTCTAATCCCCACAACTCATGCCTAGATGGACCCTAGGAGCCCTTTTTCTTTATCTAAAGCAGGGATTTGGGGGACCCATTATGAAGATCACATCTTTAGAAACCTTCATTTCTGAGGCTGTGGACAATGGAGGGGGCACTTCCCTTGCTTGGGGCTTACCTGGATTTGATCCCCAAATCTCATATGCCCCTTGGCCCTGTTGAGCACTGCCAGGAGTGATTCCTGAGTGCAGAGCCCGGAGTAAGCCCTGAGCCATGCTGGGTGTGGCCCAAACTGCCTTCCCTTCCCCCCCCAAAAAAAATACATAGAATCCTTCATTTCTTAATTGCTTACTAAAGTTACTCTTCAGCTTTCCTAATTTCTGAATATACCTGGATATAGTATAGTATACTACTATATATAGTATAGTACTAATAGTATACTACTAGTAATCGTATACTACTATACTAGTAGTAGTATAATATACTACTATACTAGTACATTACTAGTAATAGTATACTGCTGGGGCTGGAGCGATAGCACAGCGGTAGGGCGTTTGCCTTGCACACAGCCAACATGGCCGACCCGAGTTCGATTCCTCCACCCCTCTCGGAGAGCCCGGCAAGCTACCGAGAGTATCTCGCCCGCACGGCAGAGCCTGGCAAGCTCCCCGTGACGTATTCGATATGCCAGACACAGTAACAACAAAGTCTCCAATGGAGACGCTACTGGGCCCGCTCGAGCAAATCGACAAACAACGGGAGGGCCTTTACCTTTTTAGTATACTGCTATAATACTAGTAGTAAGTGTAGTAGTACTAGTGCTACTACTTGGTAGTAAAGGTAAAGGTAAAGGTAAAGGCCCTCCCGTTGATCGTCGATTTGCTCGAGCGGGCCCAGTAATGTCTCCATTGGAGACTTTGTTGTTACTGTGTCTGGCATATCGAATACGTCACGGGGAGCTTGCCAGGCTCTGCTGTGCGGGCGAGATACTCTTGGTAGCTTGCCAGGCTCTCCGAGAGGGGTGGACTTGGTAGTAGGTGGGGACTTTTGCAGTATGGTTTCCAGGGTAGGTCATTGGAAGGTGAGAAGGAGCTAGCTGGCTTTGGGCGGGAAGCTGGGGAAAGTCACTGCAGAAAAAAAGACTATCCGTCATTCCCAAGGTCACGAGACATGAACAGGCTCGTCAAGGAGAGATGCGTCCTTTGGTGCCATTGAAGCGAAAGCTCCCGGGATGGTTGGGGTGTGGCTGGGAAGAGTCTGTTTCAAAATGTGGGTTTCTGCTCAGAGACAGCCGGTGTAGCATGAATTGAAAACCCGGGCTCAGAGGTGGTGAGAGGACTCGGATGGCTGGTCCCACCTGCTGGGACATATGTGAGCCCGGGTCTGAGGCCTGGCACCCTGTGGTCCCCCTTAGCACTGACTGGAGCAAACCCCACCCAAGTCCCCAAGAATTGCCAGATGTAACCGACCTCCCAGAATACACAAAAATTAAGGGATGATGTTTTGTTTATTTGTTTGGGGGACACACCTGCCTGTGTTCAGGGTTTACTCCTGCCTCTGCCCTCAGAAATCACTGCTGGTGGGGTTTGAGGAATCTTATAGGGTTCCAGGAATCAAACTGGGGTCAGCCACATGCCAGGCAAGTGCCTCCCCTGCTAAATTCTCTCTTCAGCCCCAGCCTTGCTCTAGTTTTAATCTCCTTGTCCTAGTTGGAAAAGCTGAGGAGACTTAGGGATGTTTTGTGACTTGTGCAGGGCTGGAGGCTGTCAGTGGTGTCCTTGCATTTACCATTCCAGGATTGGCACTGCCCCGGTGCCAGTCCAGGTGTGTCTTGCTCCAAAATGCATCTCTAGACCCCAGAGACATAGTATAGAAGGCAAAACACTTGCCTTGCATGCATCTGACCCTGGCTCAATTCCTGGTTGCTTCATAGGGAACCCCAAGCAACACTCAGGGTCACTACTGAGCACAGAGGTAGGAATAGCCTGGGAACACAACTGGGTGTGGCCCGGTCCCCCCTTCCCCATCTCCCAAAAATGTGCCTTTGAACTCTTCACCTACTGCCTCCTCTGTTATCTGGAGCATTCAAAGAGAGCTATTGGAGAAGAAAGCCAGCCTTAATCACGGAATCAAACCTCTTGACTTCCTCAGATCACAGCATATGCTTATAGGACAAATATAGCTTAAATATCAGTTGTTTATTTCCGTGTTAGCAATGCAAAATAATTCTTTAATCAGATCCTCATTTTCTAAAACGGTTGTCAGTCACAGGAGACTTCTTTGATCTTTGTCAAGGATCCAAATACCGTTCAAGGTTTTATCTGAAAAGAACCAGGTAGAACAACCTCAGCCTTGCCTCAGAATCCTGCTGGGAGAGTCAGCTGCCGCCCACCTTACACACACACACACACACAGAGGGGATTGGTGGTAAGGAATAGTGGGTAAAATAATTAAAGGACCAACCATGATCGTAGTACCCACTTTATAGAGTGGATGCAAGGTCTAGTTGGAATAAAATGCTGAGCCTGGTGGCTGACGTACTGTGACCCATATGTATAGGTGCTCCTCCCAAACACTCAAAGAGAAGGTAAAGTCCTATGTGTGTCTTTTTTGGAGTATTAAATGTGAAGCCAAGGAAAAGGATGAACAATGAGGAAACTTTGCCCATCCACCCATCCACCCATCCATCCATCCACCCATCCATCTATCCACCCATTCATCCATCCATTCACCCACCCATCCACCCACCCATCCACCCACCCATCCATCTATCCACCCATTCATCCATCCACCCATCCACCCATTCATCCATCCACCCATCCACCCATCCATCCATCCATCCATCCATCCATCTATCCACCCACCCATCCATCCACCCATTTACCCATTCACCCACCCATCCCCCCATTTACCAGGGGATTGAGTGATACTTTTTTTGTTCTTTTGCTTTTGGGGTGGGCTGGAGCGATAGCACAGTGGGTAAGGCATTTTCCTTGCATGTGGCCAACCGAAGTTCAATTCCTCCATCCCTCTTAGAGAGCCTGGCAAGCTACCAAGAGTATCTCACCCGCAGGGCAGAGCCTGGCAAGCTCCCCGTGGCATATTCGATATGCCAAAACAAGTCTCAGAGTGGAGACGTTACAGGTGCCCGCTCGAGCAAACCGATGAACAATGGGAGAACAGTGCGACAGTACTACAGTGCTTTTTGGGTCACACCCGGCAATGCTCAAGGGTTCCTCCTGGCCCTGCACTCCGGAATCACTCCTGGGCAGTGCTTTGGGGGACCCGATGGGATGCTGGGGATCGAACCAGGGTCACCCACATGCAAAGCAAACGCCCTACCCACTGTGCTATCGCTCCAGGGCCCCTCCTATCTTCATTTTTATCCCATCAATGAGAGCGATCGCTTCTTGCGGGTCCTGACTCTCCTTCCCGTCTCCTTCCTGCAGGCACTTTCTCTTTAAGACGTCCTCGGGCAGCACCCCGCTGTTCAGCAGCTCCTCTCCCGGCTACCCCTTGACCTCAGGGACCGTGTACACGCCCCCGCCGCGCCTGCTGCCCCGCAACACGTTCTCCCGCAAGGCCTTCAAGCTGAAGAAGCCGTCCAAGTACTGCAGCTGGAAGTGCGCCGCCCTGTCGGCCATCGCCGCTGCGCTCCTGCTGGCCATCCTGCTGGCCTACTTCATAGGTGAGTGGCCGCCGCGTGTCCCCTACCTGGCCCCCTCACAGGATGGGAAAATGCACCCAGGTGAGGCTGGAGCGATGGGGGGGGAGGGGCTGGGCTTTGCACGCAGCTGACCCAGGTTCCATCCCTGGCATCTCCTTAGGGTCCCCCCAAGCACCGCCAGGAGTGATTCCCAGTACAGAGCCAGGAGGGACCTCCCCTGACCCAGCATCACGGGGTGTGACCCATCTTGAGCCCTGCATCACAGAGGACCCCAGGTGTGAGTCCTCTGAATGAGTAACTGTAGCAAACAAACAACTGTAGCAATCAATTCTAGGGGCAGGAGAGCGATCACAATCCCCAGCATCCCTTTAGGGTCCCCCAAGACCGTCAGGAGTGATTCCTGAGGCAAAAGCCAGGAGGGACCCCTGAGCATCGTCGGGTGTGACCCATCTTGAGCCCTGCACCCCAGAGCACCCCCAGGTGTGAGTCCTCTGAATAACTGTAGCAAACAAACAAGAACCAATTCTAGGGGCAGGAGCGCTAGCACAGCGGGCAGGGAGCTGGCTTTGCACACGGCCAACCCGGGTTCAATTTCCAGCATCCCCTTAAACCCTCCCACCGAGTACCACCAGGAGTGATTCCTGAGTGCAGAGCCAAGTGGGACCCCTGAGCATTGCCCGGTGTTACCCAAAAAGTAAAAAAAAAAAAATGAAGAATGGGAATGATTTTTCCCCCCTGCCCCCTCCTGAAATCCATTTAAACCTGATGAGTTTCTCCTGTGTGATTCTAAACGCCATTTGTGGGGAGGGAAATTAAGCATCCTGATGGGATTCTTTTCTCGGCGATAAGCTGAAAACGGGTCCATCCCACACTCCCAAAGTAGCCTTCAGCTCTCTGTCTATCACCGGGTTGTTTGTTTGTTTTTAACTTGGTGCTCGGAAATACACACGCCACCCTTCTCTTGAGCCGTAAACCCTCACAGCAGAGGGAGAGAGGTCCGAGAATCTGGTAAAATGCCCAGTCTGTGGGGCTGGCGCGATAGCACAGTGGGTAGGGCATTTGCCTTGCACATGGCCAACCCGGGTTCAATTCCCAGCATCTCAAAGGGTCCCCTGAGCATCACCAGGAGTGATTCCTGAGTGCAGAGCCAGAAGTCACCCCTGAGCATCACCAAGTGTGACCCAAAAAGCCAAAAATAGATAAATAATGCCTAGTCCAAGCCCACCTCGCCAGCCTATTTCCAGAGCCGGGAAAAAATGGAAACAGGCCGAAAGGCTGGAGAAGCCCACACAGGCAGCCAGGGATGTGGGCAGAGGGTACCTGAGTATGGATCTGGTCCACGTCTCCTCACGCTCTATGCATCCCCAGAGTGCTGTGCTTTGCAGGATGGGGGTGGAGGGGAGGCGTGGTTTGACTGAGGTTTGCAGATTGGTGAAGTTGCGTCTGGGGTTAAATGCAGTGGTCCGCACTTTGGGGCTTGGGAGGTGGGTGTGCATCTGTGGGGGGCAGCCTGGTACCCCCGTGGAAAGACGCAGAGGCCCAAGCTGGAGTACCTAAGCCCTGAGCAGACACACACAGAGCTCACACTCCCACCCGGAGCCTCATTTCTCCAGCGCTGGCCACGTGCCTTGTGAGGGGCAGCTGGGCCCTGGGGGCCTTCCCGGCTGAGGCCAGGGGATATTTGATAAAGTTAATTTGAAACAATCAAGGATTTGGGCTGGGTTTCCAAGCATCTGTTCCAGCCCCTCTGCCTGCCAGCCCCTCTTTTGGGCTGGCCTCAAAGGAATCCTGTTTCTGCTAAAGCCCCTGGCATTTATAAGGGAAAAAAAAATTGGTAAGGGATGGGGAGATAGCAAGAAGGAATAAGTTAGTTGCTAGCCTGGCAGGCAGCCATCCTGATTTGTTTCTCTGCATCACCATACAGGATTGTCCTGAGCACTGAAGCAAGCTCCCCTCCAAAAAAAAAAAAAAAGGAAAATAAAAGTACAAAAGAACCCAAAACAGGACACCTGGATTCTGGGTTAGCCCTTCTTGTTTGACAAGTGGTGGTCCCAGTGCTGGTCCCAGATGGTTGCTGGAGATTTAGGCAGTTTGCTGTGTCCTGAAGGGGTAGGGGGTTGTTTGCAAGGCAGAAAGTTCAGGGCACAAAGGGCCCCTGGGCTCACTTCTGTGTCTACTGGCGCCTGGGTGAGCCCTGACATTGAAACAGAGGCCACACAACCTCTGCTGGTTCTAGCCCCAGCAACCAACCGCGTCCCCCCACCCACAGGAGAAAGAAAGAAATGGCCACGGCCTGATCCAACTTGAGAGTTGAAATGTGGATGGCTTGCTCCATCCAGACGGGAAAGCCTCCCCCAAGACCAGAAGTGTTTTCCCTGGGCGTGTGGCTCGTGAATGATGGCTTAGGAAATGGAGTTATCCCCCATCTGGAGTCCCACCCACCCCCCATCCCCCAGCAGTCTGGGGTCTCTCTGAGTGGTATCTCCCATGAGAACCCATTGCCTCCAATTCTGTCTGCTGGAGGAAAGGTTCCGCGCTGACTCTGGCAGATTGAAGAGCAGTTGTTGATGGCTCGGAATGACGGCTGGAGGGTTCAGGCAGCCCAGCCCAGGGGGTGGGAGGTGGGTACTGGGGGTACTCCCAAAAAGACTGCAAGCATGGACCAAGGTCACGACCTTGACGGCTGACCTTGACATCACAAACACACACACACACACACACACACACACACGAGAGCTCTTTTGCCCTATAGCCTTGCAGATTCATCCCGGTTGCCTAGTGATGGGCAGGTGATGGGTGATTGAGAGGCAAAAACTCTAAAGTACAGTGAGGATTAATTATTGTGTATAAATCACACCGGAGGTGAAAAGCAGTAGATCATTAATAACAATGCCTTGGGGACATACCAGGAGTGGCAAACACTGGGGAGTGTATTGTTACAGTGTGTCCCCCACCCACCCTCACCTATGGTTACCTATGGTAGAACCATCCTAAAGGACCCAGGAGCCAGGTGGAACCCACAGCCCCCAACCTGATTTATGGACATCAACCCTTCTGGGGCCCAGGTCCACCCTGGTCGTGTTGGGACCGCAGGTGACCGACAGGACAGGACTGAAACAAGAGCATCCACCCCAGGACGTTAGCGAACAGGCTCTGGGGCCAGCCAGCCCTGTGGCTGGACAAATAAGCCCAGGAAGCCTCTCGCTGTCCAGGTCAGTCGAGGGCAGACTTTCCAGAAATGAGCAACTTGCTGCCGGCAGGTCTGAGCTGTGACAAGTTCCTGCTTGTACCCAGAACTGTGGGCAGGGGTTACAGTGATGCTGTCCCCCAGGCAGTGGAGAGCAGGGGACACCAGGGGACACCGGCCTCCGTCTGCCAGCTCAGACACTCCTCTGTCTGTCCTTACTCGGCCTAGTCCCCCCCACCCCTCTCCTGGAGGGAACATGTTAGAGAGTGCTAGAATCCCCCTGGGTGTCTGCTGTACATGTCCACACAGGATGCTGGTTCTGACTTGGGGACATCAATTGTGTGACTGTGACTGGGAGCTTTGAGCTTGCCCGTTATCTGGCCGTCCCCTCTGAATCCTGCCACCTGTAGGTACTTTCTCCCCTAATTTATGCCCGTGAGCTGTGTTGTTTGTTATTTTCCTGGACGGCCGAATGGTGCCCAGTTTCAGACTTGCTATGTTTGTGGGGCTGGAAACGTCTCTATTGAAACCACCTGTGTGCGGTGATGACCTTTGAAACTGAGGCCCATCAGAACCAGAGCTGAGGAATCAAGTCACCTTTCCCTTTGATGAAGAACATTCTCTAAGAAAGTTTTGCATGCTTGAAGCTCTGGGCTTCTCTCTCTCTCTCTCTCTCTCTCTCTCTCTCTCTCTCTCTCTCTCTCTCTCTCTCTCTCTCTCTCACACACACACACACACACACTCCCCACCCCCCACCCCCAAAGCTCTGGGCTTCTTCCCTGACACACACACACACACCCCTCCCCCCAAATAACTTCTCTTGGATGAAAGCTTTTCCACCTTTTTTTAAAAAAAAATTATTGAATCCGTGAGATACAGTTACAAGGCTTTCATGATTGAGTTTCAGTCATATTGAACACCCATCCCTGCACTTTTCCATCTTAAACGTCCACTTTAAACATTTCCCCACCTCACCGAAGGAGTAGGTTACAGGAGAGCTTTACCACAAACACCTGTCTTCAATCATTTGTCGCTCCAGGCTATGCAAAACCATTCCCTGTTTTCGAAAAAGTTACTCCAGAGGACCTGGAGCAATACTAAAGTGGGTATGGTATTTGTCTTGCATGCAAACCACCCAGGTTTGATCCTTGCTATCCAATAGGGTCCCCTGAGCAACACCAGGAGTAATTCCCGAGTGCAGAGCCAGGAATAACCCCTGAGCACTGCCAGGTAGGACTCAAAAAGCAAAAAATAATTCATTTAAAAAAAATTACTTCATGGGGCCTGGGGCAATATCACAGCGGGGAGGGCATTTGCCTTGCACGCGCCCAACCCGGGTTTGATTCCCAGCATCCCATATGGTCCCCTGAGCACCGCCAGGGGCAATTCCTGAGTGTAGAGCCAGGAGTAACACCTGTGCATCGCCCGGTGTGACCCCCCCCCCCAAAAAAAGTAAAAAAATGACTTCATGACAGTGTCAGAGAGATGGTATAAGGGTTAAGGTGCTTGTCTTGCCTGTGACCGACCCCCCGTTTGATCCCTAGTCCCACGGGGTCCCTTGAACACAGCTGGGAGCAACCCCTGACCACAGAGCCAGGAATAACCCTTGAGCACTGCCAGGTGTGACCCAAACACAGTCCTTCCCCGATCCTCACTGCCCTGCCAAGCCATCATCACTACAACCAACAACAACAACAACACAACAAACAACAATCCAGTAGATCTAATTCTTTCTGTGTTGGGATTTCCCAGCAGGTTGTAACTGTATGCTGGTTTTTTGAACTGTTATGATCCCTTTCCTGTCCCCAGTTCAGGCACGTTAGATCTAGTCCCT